AAAGCACTGAGCTGGGTGAACACAGGCCTCACCTTGCCTTTGCCATCAACTATTTAATTTCAGCAAGTCACTTCTCTGAGTTTCTTCTCTCGTCTGTAAAATGGAGATGAAACTCATCATATTATCATCTCTAAACATGATAATATGATAAGTTTCATCAATATTTGTGAAATACCTGACATATAGAGCATACCACCATACAAAATAAGTGTGTTTATATAGAATTATATACAGAATATATTTATGTATAGAAAATATGAATATATAAAGTATATTGATTTCCTAGGGCTGCTGTAACAAAGTACCACAAACTGCTAGTTTAAAACAACAAGTACTGCATTATCTCATCAATTAAGGGGCCAGAAAGCTAAAATCAAGTGTTAGCAGGGTTGATTTTTTCTTAGAGGCTCAGGGAGAACCTTGCCCCTCTCTTAACTTCCGGTGGTTGCTGGCGATCTTGGGTATTTTGTGTTCGTAGCTGCCTAACTCCAGCCTCCACCTCTGCTGTCATGCGGCATTCTCCCTGTTTGTCCTTATGTGTCACCATGTTTCTCCTTTTCTCATAAGGACACCAGTCATTTTGGATTGAGGGCTCAGTCCACCCCACTATGCTTGAGAAGGTCCCCTGGAGGAGGACGTGGGAAAGTTAACAAGATGGCACCACTCAGGCTCTCTAGCCCCATGCTCTCACACCCTCTTGCCCCATGTTCTGTAGAAAATGACTTTGCACGGTTATGTAATAGCTGAGATCACTTCTAGCACTGTGCAGGCACATCAGGAGGTACTCATTCGGTCATGGGCTACTTTGTGTGGTAGGCCTGTATGAGTTTCACCATGAAAGCCCTGGCTACACTGGAACAACATCATGGTTATGTTATATGAGGTTATGTTTTGGCTGTTATGGCTATGTTATGGTTATGTTATATCTGCTGCTATGGCTGCTGCACAAGTCAGGAGAGAATAAATGCATCTGCAGTTCCTACAGCTCCTCACATTTTCTTCCAGCCTCTTAACTTGCATCTTGGCCTACTATGGGTTCAGTGAACAGTGTGCACAGTGAGATACAGCGAGACAATTGGCACTGTGAGCAAGATCAGCAAGAGAGAGGCCATGGCAACCCACTCCAGTATTCTTGTCTGGAAAATTCCCATGGACAGAGAAGTTTGGTGGGCTACAGTCCATAGGGTCACAAAGAATCAGACATGATTGAAGCAACTTAGCATGCACACACTACCCTATTACGACCTCATCTTTTATTACATCTACAAAGACTCCATTTCCAAAAAAAGGTCACTTTCTCGGGTTCCAGACTGAAATGAATTTGGGGAGGACACTCTTGAATCCAGCACAAAAGGTATATTCTTAATGTACCCTTATTTTTCCAATAGCTTCAATAGGCTATTATAAGAACAAGGATTTGGCTCTTAGAGAGGAAGAGAACCAAATGATTAACAGTCTAGGTCAGGGAATTTGAATTCCACTATTCTTCTTCCTGTTTATGTAGCCTTAGAGGGTGCACTGTCTTTAGTAGTTGCTCTTCTCATCAGATCAACAGAGAGTTGAGTGTTTGGGGAGGATGATAGGGGCTTTCCTGGTGACTCAGAGGTTAAAGTGTCTGCCTCCAATGCGGGAGACCGGGGTTTGATCCCTGGGTTGGGAAGATCCCCTGGAGAAGGAAGTGGCAACCCACTCCAGTATTCTTGCCTGGAGAATGCCACGGCTGGAGGAGCCTGATAGGCTACAGTCCATGGGGTCACAAAGAGTCGGACACAACCGAGCGACTTCACTTTAACTTCCAGAACAGTTATGTGTACAATGTACTTGCCACAGTACTGGCCCAAAGGGATGGTGCTCACCTCTTCACTCTAAGACCAACTTGTGCTGTGTGTGTGTTTGTGGTGGGGATGGTGAGGTGGGCATGGGAAGGGGTCTTGTCTGCTCAAGTGAATGAGACAACTCACTATTTCATCCAGCCATAGGCTAAATGCACTGCCTGCAGAGCCATTTGCACCTTTACAATTTACCCCTCTGGCACTAAGACTTCCCCAGGCTGACTTGTTCAATACTAACCTGAATGATTTGCACAGCTATTGGCCCATGTCCCACAGAAATGCTGGATCACTTATCACTGTTCCATGTCTACCATTTCAGTTTGCCCATCCGTTTTATACTTGATATTGAAGTGAAAGTGAAAGTTGTTCAGTCGTATCCTACTCTTTGCGACCCCATGGACTATACAGTCCATGGAATTCTCCAGGCCAGAATGCTGGAGTGGGTAGCCTTTCCCTTCGCCAGGGGATCTTCCCAACCCAGGGATCGAACCCAGGTCTCCCACATTGCAGGCAGATTCTTTTACCAGCTGAGTCACAAGGGAAGCCCAAGAATACTGGAGTGGGTAGCCTATCCTTTCACCAGCTGATCTTCCCAACCCAGGAATCAAACAAAGGTCTTCTGCATTGCAGGCAGATTCTTTACCAACTGAGCTGTCAGAGAAGCCTATGCATGGTATTTCTATACTGTGAAAATCAACTGCTTCATCATCATAATCATCATCATCATGTTCTTCCTAAGTTAGTTTTGTAAAGAATAATTTAAAGTAGGCTTTGTAAATAAGTAATTATCTAAATAAGTAATGCCTTAACTTTCATACATTTGTAACACATTATCTTGCTGCTGCTGCTGCTAAGTCGCTTCAGTCGTGTCCGACTCTGTGCGACCCCATAGATGGCAGCCCACCAGGCTCCCCCATCCCTGGGATTCTCCAGGCAAGAACACTGGACTGGGTTGCCATTTCCTTCTCCAATGCATGAAAGTGAAAAGTGAAAGTGAAGTCACTCAGTTGTGTCCGACTCTTAGCGACCCCATGGACAGCAGCCTACCAGGCTCCTCCATCCATGGGATTTTCCAGGCAAGAGTACTGGAGTGGGGTGCCATTGCCTTCTCCACATTATCTTGCTAACGCTTTATAATTTTTTCAGGTGGAAAAAAAGGATTTTTATCTCAATTTTAAAAAATGAGAATTTTGATGTTCAAACTGGTTACATGACTTAAATACAGCAGTTTGTTCTATCCTGACTGGTGGAATATCTTCCGCAGTACTTGTTTACATTCTAGGAGTTAACTGTTGGTCACCTGGTAATGAAACATAAAAATTTTAATCAGTATACACAGTTTTTGGTAGTCACCATATAATCCATAAAGAAGGTTGACTACTGTATCTTTGAGTAGACTTAAGACTTGACCTGAAGATATATTGTCAAAATCTATATTGATCTATTGCTCAATATAACACTTAAATTTATATTTGCTCAATTTAGCACTCTGTTTTGCCAGCTTGCAGTTTTCCAGTCTGCTATGCTGAGAAGCTTGGGGGGAAGGGGTGGAGAATCCAAACAATATCTTCGCTATTCATGAGGCAGTTTTATATCCCGAATCCATACTTGTGTATTCAACTGATGTTATAGAGTCATGTACAAATGCAGCACAGGTACATGGTGCCCTTTAACCCCATACTTTCAGTCCCCAGATGGGCAAATACTCTCAAAATTTTAAGAAAATGATTTTAAGAATTTCTGTGTGCTCTTGCTTGTTGTGGTAAAGAATCCACCTGCCAATGCAGGAGGTGCGAGAGACACAGTTTCAATGCCTGGGTTGGGAAGATCTCCTGGAGGAAGAAATGGTGACTCACTCCAGTATCCTTGCCTGGAGAATTCCATGGACAGAGGGAGCCTAGCGGGCTGCAGTCCATGGGATCATGAAGAGTCAAACACGACTGAGTGAGCACAGACATGCTTGTTGTGAAGTGCTTGCGTAAGCAGGTAGGCAGGAATTCCTACAGACTGATGTTGAAGATAAGCATATTATGCATTAATATCAAACCTCAGGAAGCCCAAGGTGATGTAGCAAATGCCTGAATCTAGAAAAGTGAAATGCAACAAAATTCCTGGCAATTCACAATTTGTTTATGCTTTAAATTTGGTATTTGGGATCTACCTGTAGTCAAGTGTATCTTCACTATCATTTCAGTTTGCTTTATTGAAAGTACAGTCATTTTCACTTGTAACAGCTATATACAACAGGCAATAAATAAAACTACAAGCAACCTTGGAGCCTGTGTGAAAAAAATGGCAGGAGATGCTTTTATCTTGCTCATTCATAATTACTGTGTCTGCAATATATCGGCTACCATATGTAAACCTTAACAGAATCCAGATTTCATGAATTTATGGCTTGCCTGAACTTCCTTTTTTAAAATCCTGAGTGTACTGCAGATGAAAACTATCTACATTACTTTAGAAACTGCACTTCATAGAATAAAAAACAAACAAACATGTTTCCGATTTATTTCAGAACACTCTAAATTCTAGGAATGCTTATTGATGTAAACCCACATAGGTTCAGCTATTTTGAGACTTGGGGCAAACAGTCACCACTTAGCAATAGGTTTGGAAAACACAAAGTATTTCGGCGCTTGCTTTGCCACAAAGCGTTTGACGGTCCAAATTAGAGCTTCATAATGCCTTCCGAAAAGAAAAACAGACTTCCTGTCATTCCTCTGGGTTTCTGGATGTGGCACCAGTGTGCACAACGCAAAGTGTAAACAGATGTAAATGGTGAGGGAGGAGGCCAAGTCGTGTGTGCTATTGCACACAACTTCCCGCAGCCTGATCAGACTCGAGCAGCCTCTCCCAGGGGCTGGCAGCTGACACTTGCACCCGAGTCTTGGACTCTCGGCGTCACCAGTGTTTACTTATGGAAATAAAGGGGCGTGGCCTTGGCCGGAGAGGCGGGTGGAGGAGGGGTCTGGGGCCTAGGGGCTCTGACCGCCTCACAGCACCAGAAACCTCGTCTGCTGTGATCATTAACCTTTCTGGAAAACGCAGCTAGCTGTGCTCTGAGGTCTGTCTTTAGAATGTGAGGAGAGCCACACAGATACCGCACAGACTATTCAAAGAGGGGTTACCTTGTGAGCTTTAGCTCCACTGTAGACTGGCAGAAAAATGAGATTTCAGTTCTTTCTTCTATTTGTTATTTTTATGATGAGTCTTCTACTTATCCACGGACAAAGACAAGGTAGGACTTTGACACATTTGTAACGGAGTAACTTGATTTCATATCTGTTTGTGTGAATGGGCTTCTGAGCCTGACTGTGTTTCTAGATGTTTCTTAGATGTTTTTAGACTGTGTTTCTTAGATGTGTGCTTGTTGGGGCAGGGGGTGCGGTGGGGATGAGGTGGGTGGTTAACGGGGATTGGGAGTGAGTGTGTAGGAGTTCAGGAGTGTGTTTTCTATCCTGTTAGGTCTGTTATTTGGCTATTTTAAAAAATAGCTGGCTTTTAAAATGATGATAAATATTCTACCAATTCTACCACTGTTTTTCTAAATTCAAAGAAAATGGATCCCAAAACTATCATAGTTACATTGTCCTTATAAGTAAAAAGAGTTGTTATTTCTAGATATCTAGTTAGATGTGTCACTTTAAAAAGTGCCATTTGTAAGTTTTTTTTTGTTGGGGGGGGGTGTGTTATAGAGCAAAAAAAATGTCAAAACTGTGTATGGTCAGGATAATATTAAATTACTTGATACATTTTTCAAGGATCATATTTGTTGTGTTGTTCTTAATAGAAACTTAGTAAACAAAGTTATTTTAAAGTGTTTTTACTTCAAAACTAAACATCTAGGATTTCAAAGCACTGGCAGGTAAAAAAAAAAAAGAAAAGAAAATTTTCTAAGGAAAAAAGCCAAGCCTAATTTAGAGAGATGATAACATTTCTATCCAAATATGTTAGATTATTTCCTTGATAATATACTTCTCCATTTACAACAGAAAATGGTGCCAACTGATTAAACATTCAGTTTCTGCCTTATAGTTAACCAGAAGTTTGATCACTGAGATTAGTTCAAATGAGGTCTCCTGATCTGCCCTTTTTACATAAATAAGAAAAATGTTTCAAATCAGCAACTCTGAAAGCAGATAATTCCTTTTTATTATTTACAGGAATTGAATTGCTATTCAAACTGTTTCTCCTCTAAAATTACAGAGCAACTTGGAAAATATTCTTGTGAAATATTTGTGCTTAATTCATGACATAAACTAAAAGGTCTAGGAGTATCTAGAAAGAAGTCATGTAGGAGGAGAATTTTACTATTAGACTCCAGCATCAACATGAACTGTTAGGAATACTTGCCATGCATTTACATCCCATTAATTTTTTATATCACAATCACATCTGAACAGATAGCAGACAATCACAGTATAATTTGGATCCAGAATATTCCCTCACAATCTTCAGATTAAACAGCAACTAATTTTCTGTAAATGCTCTAATATTTTCCTTCCCCTCCCCCACCCCCAGCTAATTTGGCAATGAGAAGAAAATTGCACAGACACAACTGCCTTCAGAGGAGATGTATGCCTCTCCATTCACGAGTGCCCTTCCCCTGAGGTATTTCTGATGGAAAATGGTTTTGGCAATGTTTACATTTTGGCAATGTTCCAGATCAGCTATACCTGAGAATGCTTGTTCATATTTTGAATATGTGATAATGACTTTACTGTGACGCCCCTTGAAGGAATGCATACTATGGTTTGCATACTAACAGAAAAAATGAAATAATATTTGGGAATTGCTCTAATAATTTGATGGGATAGATGAGGAAAATGTAGGAAAATCTTGATAACTGTTGAATCTGAGTGATAGTTATATGGGGATTAATACTATTTTGTGTGTTTGAAAATTTTCATAATTAAAAATCAGGCACCAGGAGAATTTAATTAATAATAGAACTAGTGTTTTGAAAAAATCTGAATCTCCCTATGTTACTCAGAACAAGCACATTTCCCATGAGCACCATTCTAGGCTTGAAAACATTCAGACAAATGTTCCCAGCTCCACCAAGTGGATGATGTATTAACCTCAATATTTAGTAGTATATTCTTCCTGAAAATATTTTCATATATAAAATCAACCTAATGACATAGCAGTTTTCCAGCTTCACTAGTAGAATTAATATTGATGGTTGCATCTTTAAGGATGTACTCTGAAGAGAATTTTGTTCCTGATTTTACACCACCACCATCACCAGTAGTGTTGCTTGAATCAATTAACTTCAAACATTACCCAAGTTTAAACTTCATACAAAAATAAGAAATTGACATTCCATTGTAATTATTTTAAGCTCTTCAATTCTAATGAAGTATATCTTCCTTTAAAAAATAGTCATAGAAATATCCCTTAGCCTGGTTAACATAACACAGGCAATTGCTAAATAAGTCTATTCATTTGGCCTGTGGACTAGAGCATTTATGGCACTATTAATTCAGGGGAATAATGGTTGCTGTTCAGTTCAGTTGCTCAGTCATGTCCGACTCTTTGCAACCCCATGGACTGCAGCATGCCAGGCCTCCCTGTCCATCACTAACTCCCGAAGCTCACTCAAACCCATGTCCATTGAGTGGGTGATGCCATCCAACCCTCTCATTCTCTGTCGTCCCCATCTCCCTCCTTCAATCTTTCCTAGCATTAGACTCTTTTCAAATGAGTCAGCTCTTCACATCAGGTGGCCAAAATATTGGAGTTTCAGCTTCAACATCAGTCCTCCCAATGAATATTCAGGACTGATTTCCTTTAGGACGGACTGGTTGGATCTCCTTGCAGTCCAAGGGATTCTCAAGAGTCTTCTCCAACACCACAGTTCAAAAGCATTAATTCTTTGGCTCTCAGCTTTCTTTATAGTCCAACTCTCACATCCATACGTGACTACTGAAAAAACCATAGCCTTGACTAGATAGACCTTTGTTGGCAAAGTAATGTCTCTGCTTTTTAATATGCTGTCTAGGTTGGTCATAACTTTCCTTCCAAGCAGTAAGTGTCTTTTATTTTCATGGCTGCCATCACCATCTGCAGTGATTTTGGAGCCATAAATAAATAAATAAATAAATGGTTGCTGTAGCTGATGTTTAATACATGCTTTTCAAACCAGTGAAGACTGTAGTAGACCATTACATAAAGGAAGAGCAATTCAGTAATAAGCATTTATGAAGAGGGCTGAGATAAAAAGCCAAATTCTCTACACCTACATCTGTAACAAGTTACTCTTTACTATCAAAATATTAAAAATAAATATGGTGGAGAAATTGATAAAAATACAAGAGGAAGTTCTTGATCAGCCAATTATTAGAGACTAAAACATGCTTTAAAAGTTTTTTATATATTAAAAAATCCTTTGGTGTGTGTCAATAATGAACTTCAGTCTCAAATAAGTAAAATCTGTGCTTAGAAGGAAGTTCAAGATTTTTCCAGGACTCTTCAAAAGTAACAAGAGGCATCTCACAGTAGCCAGGAAATTCCTGCATGTTCAGGAAAAGATGCCTCACAAATGCAAACAAAAGCCCTTTAGTCAGTCACAGGCTGTATTGGCTTTCTCCACAAACCACCTGCCCTAAAAACTAGGGCTGTAAGTAAACAAGATAGAGCAGTGAAATTTAAATGGTTAAAGTTAAGGATGATTTTGACCTGTAAACCAAATTTGTAAAGCAATGGGAAACCTAAGTCAAAAGCCATATAAAACATTTAATAATGGCAATACTTTAGAAAAGGTAGGTAATCCTTTTAAAGAACTGCTCAGGTTACAGCATCCATTTTCTCAGTGTTTAGGCTAGTCCTGCATTCCAATAGGTCTTTGAAGAATGTGTAAAAGTCACATTTTGGAATCCAGTGATAGCATAAGAGCCAATGAAACAGAAACATTAAGATAATTTCCCCTTGGGAAACTATATTCAACATCCAGTGAACCATAATGGAAAATAATGTGAAAAGGAATATATATATTATATATATATATATATGTATATTATATATATATATATATATTCCTGAGTCACTTTGCTGTACAGCAGAAATTAAAACATTATAAATCAACTATACTCCAATAATTTTTTTGTAAAAAAGGAAAAAAGATACTTTCCCAAGATCTTGCCAAACCAGTGCTCTAAGTGTTGTCTTCCGGTTTCGTAACCTGATTCTCACTATCCTAAATATTTGCATATTTTTCATACATCTTGCAACAAAGATACTTTGACAACTGGATAAAAATGCTATAAATGTTGATTGTGGAACTCTGAGGCTGAACCTTCCTTCATTTGTCCTCTTTGTTTTCTACATGCTTTAGATAAAATCACCTGTCGTGACTTGATTTGGTTAGGGTCAAGGAAGATTGTAAAAGAACAGGTCAAGTAAACAGTTGACTTTGAATTTTTACAAATTAACCCTTTAGAGTGGTTTAGACTTTCAGCTCACTTGATGGAAAAGCCATGTTATCTTCACTCTATTTTTCCTTCTCCCAGTCTTTTTCAAAGATCACCAGTGATATTTACTAATAGTTGAGTTAATTATATAAAAAAGTAATTAAGAGAGTTAGTTAAATGTGAGTAAATAGTCAATTAAAATAGTTAATTAAATATAAAATTTATTTTCTTGATACTCTTTTTTCTCAAAAATACTTTGGCAACGCTTTCAGCCGTAAATGAATTAGAGTGAAGGAAAGCAAAAGAAAGATGTCAGGAAATCCAAATTCAAAGGTTGAAGTGAGAGCTACAAAGTGGAAATGAGGTAGGGGCTTTGGACTCTCTTGAAATCTACTTCCAACAGTGTCATCTTGCTATAGGCCTGATTTTATTGTTAGTATGTGCTAAGGTAACTACACATCCTGTTAACACATACTTTTTCTATCTTTTTAATAATAGTTATAATACATGTTCATGGTATATTATTTTTTTCTAACAGTCTGGAAGAATATCAAGTCAAAAGTAAAATTCTTTCACACTCCCCTGTTGTCCATGCTCTTTTCTCAGAGGTAATGGCTATGAAAATAGTTTTGGTAAAGCTAAATTAACACATTAAAGGTAAATTAACACATTAATTTAAACTGAGACCCTTGATTGCCATCCAAATACAAGTGTTTATAGTTCTGTATTTTCTGCTTTTTAATAAAACAATTTTATTGAATTATACTTGATTTACAATATTAACTATAATATATAATATATATAATATATAAAGTTGTTATATTATTATATTATATATATATTATTATATAATCTAATCTAATATATAATATATATATTATGTATATAGTTTGTTTCAGGTATATAGCCAAGTGATTCAGTTATAAATTTTTTTCAGATTCTTTTCCATTATAGATTATTACAAGCTACTGAATATAGTTCCTTGTTGCTTATGTATTTTATGTATAGCCGTTATTTCTGTTAATCCTCATTCTCCTCATTTTGTCCCTCATTTGTAACCATAAATTTGTTTTCTCTGTCTGTGAGTCTGTTTTATATATATATATATAGGTTCATTTGTATTATTTGGTTCATTTGTATTATTTCTTTCCACTCCCATAGTGGGGCTTTGTATGCTTTCTCCACACCCAAATACTGATGTGTGATCAACTTTGGTTCTGTCTGCCTTATTCTTAATCACTTAAAGTCATGGGCTTCTGATCCCCCATCCACCTCTACCAAATCTCTGCTCTGCCTCGAAAATGTTTCTGTCTTATTGTGGCCCACAAAAGCCAACTTTTGCCTTCAGCGCAGAATCTCCACTTCAGTGGAGCATTTCATTTCCCACATTAGCAGGGCTGTCTGGAAATAACTCTTCTTACTTTTGGGTATCTCTCATTCCCATTCAGTTATATTTCAAACCTTTAATGACTTTTAATTCCCTTAAAGTTTTTGACATCCTTATCCAACTCACAGCAAGAGATAATGCCTCTTCCCAGAGAAAATGAAGATAATCAAGGTTCAAAACTGTACCCTGCCCTCAAACTACATGCATCTACATCTGCATAATGTCCTCTGTTTTCCCTTCCTGGTCTTTCATTAAGAGATTTCTCTCTTGGTTATGGTTAATCTCTCCACATCTCAGGAACCTTGATGCAACAATTACTCCCTTTCTTCCCCAGCATATTCAACATGTTAAGACTGATCTATTTCATCTTTAGAAAAAAAAAAAGAAAAGAAAAAAAGGTGTGCCATTTATCCAATGGTGCTCTTTAGTGACCAAACCAGGTTCTTTTCTGCGCAGTCAGATTTCTTGAAAAAGTGGTACTTCCTTTCTTCGCATTTAGTTTCAATGCACTGCTCCTGTAGCATTCTGGGAAAGGTCTTCAGTGATGTCCTTCTTGAATCCAATGAATACATCAGCTGTCTCTGTGGGTCAAATAGTAGGATGAACTTTCCTTGGTTTCAATGATACCATGCTCCTTTTTGACCATCTCTGGAATAAATCACTATTCTTTTCAGGACCTGTACAGGGTATCCAACTGCCTACCTGGAGTCACCTCAGCTGCCCTGCAGAAACTTGAAGCCAATGGCCATAGTAGATATACAGATATAAGTCATGGCTTCTACACAGCTATTCCTATAACTCAGTTCTCTGT